AATTTGTATAATGGAATTTAAATTCAATAGCCTTTAAAGTACTATAAGAAGTTATCAATAGGCAATAGGGTTTGAGGGATTAAACCTATTGGTCAGTTTGTACGGGTTAGGCATAGTAATTACTTGCCCTTTACAAGGATATGCTAGCTATTAAAACTTAGAAATATTCTAGGATATAACCAGAGGATGAAGTACTAACAATCAGACCGTCCACGGCTATGTATGGCCTTTAAGACAAGAAGAAAACTTAAAGGAAAATATGAGATAATTAATTTAATAAATATTAAAATTTTCATTTCTTTTAGGTTTTGTTAATGTTAAAGATACTAAAGAAGATAAGTTTTTTGAAGGTTGAGTAGTCAGAATAAGGTGAAAAAAATTTCTAAAGTTATCTGATTTTTGTGGCACAGCAAGGAAAGTAAAAGTTATAAAAATCATCATGGTTTTTATTATAAATTATTTATAATTTACAGTTAATAAATGTATAACAAATTACACAAAAATTAATAAGTGATTTACATTATTATTAAATATTTACTTTGTATGGATATTACTTTACTATATATGTTTTTTTACACTTAAAATTATTTATAGTTATTATTAATTCTTACATAATTTTATTAAAAAAACATTCTGTATACATCAAATACAATAAGTATTAAAAATTAACAAGTATATTTTAAAAACTAATTAAAAATTAATTTCGCTAAATATATTTTCGTATGACACTCTATATACGGCGATCTTTATGCGAAATCTAGCTTAGGAAACCTCAAAATATTCAATAACAACGTTTGTAGAATAGATCCTGGGCTATCTGAATCTCAAATTTGAAGTGAAACAGATAAAAACTCGTAAAGTTATGGTATTTTTTGTGAAAAATTGACACTTACGAATTTTTAATTTTTCCCTTGTAGAAAAAAGTAATTCTGAAGACTTTGGTGAAATGAAATGTGTATTCATTATTAAACAAGATTGGTTCATGAGATTTTCATGTGTTTGTACAAAAAATTTCAGCCCCTTGGATCAAAAATGACGAAATGATGAATTTTTTTCATAATTATTTTCATATACGAAAATTTTTGATGAAGTGCTTAAAAAAATTTAGATTTTGCTCTATATCTCAAGAACACACATATTAACCTATGCTTAAATTTTACACACCACTTGAGAAGATGCATAGAATTTTTTCTGTAAAATTTGTGAGGATTTGGACAAATATTGACAAAGTTCTTGATTTTTTTCATTATGTTCAAATTGTCTTGTCTTTGTAGATCATTTTTTTATATACTTTTTTTTTTAATTTTTTTATGATAATAATAAAAAATTGTTTATCTTATAATAGTATTAGAAATTCTATATCAATTACAATTATTAATTTTAGATTATTTCAATATTTCTTTATTTAGTTTTATCATTATTAATTTAATTTTGAATAAATTTTTATTTTGTTTATATTATTTTTATAACTTTATTAATAAATATAGATTATATAATGAATTACTTTTAATTATTTTAATTTTATATTATATAAAATGAATAATAAAAAAATTTTTAAAATTAAACATGTATTGATTACTATTATTAATTGTAAAAGATGTTCAGAAATTATAGCTTATACTCTTAACTGCAGAAATTACATAATAACAATATTGGTGAATATCTAAAATATTTGCTGACCTGGTTGCAATTTTAATGTAGATAGTATAATAGAAGATCATAGTTACTGATGATGATGAATTTGAAGGTTTATCAAATACAGAATTTAATGAAAATTTGAATAATTATGAAAATTATAAAGATATTAATATTTTAAATGAAATTTTTTCAGAAATGAAAAAAAATAATATTACTATTAATAGTGATTTGTTAATTAAAACTATTCCAAATATCAATAATCTTTTTAGAAAAGTTAGAACTAAATCTAAAAAAATAAAATAATTATTTTATAATTTCTTTTTTTAGTATTTAAAATTTATCAAAAATTTCAAAAAATCACAAAAAAATTACAAAAATATTATGTAATATAATATTTCTTTATTTGTATTAATTATTTTTTTTAAATATATTATTAAATTTATCTTTTTATTCTAAATTTCTATTTTCATTATAATTATTATTTTCTGTATTTTCATCATTGTTTCTATTATAAACAATATTTATTTGTTTTTGTATTGCTATGTGTAGTGTTATAGGTCTATTATATCTAATAGTTATTTGTAAGCTGCTAATTTATTTAGAGATCTTTGTGGATTACTTCTATATTCTATATCGTTAAATACTGTAAATTTGAATTTGAATAAAAAATTTTTTTTCCTTTTTGATAATTTATTTCTTCTATGTTATTATTATTACGTGTTCTTTTTCTGGTTATATGTTTTGTAATAAATGTTATATTGTTAGAATTTCTTGGTTCTACTATTGTATTATCTAATACTTTACCAGTTTTTCTTTAAATTTTCCATATCTTGTGATTCTGTTATAAATTCAAGTATTTCTGATATTTCTAGTATTTCTATTATTCTATTTAATCTTAAAGGTGTTTTTGGTCATGTTCTAAAATGTATTTCTCTTCTTCAATTAATTCTCAAATTTCTTCTTCTGTTATTTGTAGCTGTTTAAATAATAGAATTGATAAATTGTTATTGTCTATCATCAAATTGTTGATTAATTGTATCTTGTAGTTCTTCTTAAACATTTGTTTAAAATTTTGATTATTTCTTATTATTTGTTGTTGATTGGAATTTTGTATTTTGTTAATTGTTTCTCTAAATTCATTTCTTATATTATTCAATTGTTTAATAAAATCCTCGATTTTGTTTAATCTATTCACATCATCTTGTTTTATTAAATCATTGTTATTTCAATTAGTATCTTTAATTTAATTTATTAAATTATTATATTGTTAGTTTATAGTATTATAAACTTCTCTAATTCCATGTATGTTTAAATTATTAATATTTTTTTGATTTCTATTTATATCATCTAAATTATCTTTGATATTTCTTATATCATTTGTCATTCTTCCATATCCATCAATTAATCTATGCCTCAATGTTTCAATTCTGTCTATTAGATTTATATATTGTTTATTTTGACGATTTAATAAAATATTTTGATTATTATTCAAGTTTCTTATATTTTCAGTTAAATAATTTAATGCATTATTTTTATTTGAAATAAATTTCTCATGATATCTCTTATTTGTTGTCTTCTTGCTCTAACAAATGTATTACTTTCTTTAATTACACAACATTTTAATATGAAAAAGGTTTTATTATTTTTATATAATACTTCAAATTATATGAAGGAAATAAAGGAAAAAATTCAAATTAAATTAAAAAATGACCTTGAAAAAGATAATATAGTTAATGAAAATAATAGTAATTATTTTTTTTAATTTAATTATTTTTTAATTATAATATTAATTATTGTTTTTTTATTTTTAAATAATAAAATTAACAGAAATGTAAATTAATACAAATTTTAAATAGTGAGTTATTTTATCAAATCTAATTAGTATTTTTATATCTATTACTAATTTATATTTTAATAAATAAATATTTATAATAATGATTTTTTAGTATTGATTATTAGTTAATAAAATGTCAAATAATAATTTTATTTTATTACAAGATCAAGAAAATTCAATACTACAAGAACAAGAAAAATTTATTTTGTATTCTATAATCGAGTTTTCTTCGGATGAGGAAATTTTATCAAAGTATAATGAAGAATATCTCAAATCAAAAATAAGAACACCAAATGCCTTTATACTATATAGATCTCAAATTTCTCAAAACTTTAAATATATGAGAATACTACAAATTAAATTATCTAGTATTTTAAAAAAAGATGTGATATTGAAAATGATCATATCAAAGAAAAATTTAAAAATATTGAAAAAAAAATCAAATATAGAAAAATGCATCTTCAAATAAAAGAAAAAAATATTAATTTTTATTCTTTGGATTCTTTATTACCTAATAATTTATTAATATTTCTAAATATGAATAATTATAATAACTTAAATCTTGTTTCTGTATTTGATTTGTATAGTACTTTTATTTATTTTATTGAAACAATTTAGAATTTAATAATAAATTATATGACTTATATATTTTTAAATATTAATTTATTGATTTTATATACATGTCATAAATATCATAAATATGCTATATTAAATAAATTATTTATTTTTATTTGTTTTATTTTTAAATATTTTATTCATTTTATTGAATATCAAAGTATACTTATTTTTTTCTTTTGGTGATAGGTTTTTTCAAATTTTTGAAGTTGTGTTTTTATCAGAATAATTGGTATAAACAAAAGTATTTATTTTTTTTCCAGAAACAATTTTTTAAAAATAAAATATTTATTATAAGGTTTAGAAATCTTAATATGAAAAGAAGTGTTAAGTTGTTCATGCACAAGATGAAAAGCAATTTTGTGTATTTCTTGATTTTTTTCTTTATTCATAATTTTTATTATTGTTAACTTATAATATGAAATAAATAATTTAATAATTTATAAAAATGATAAATTAATAATAAACTGTATATTAATTATTACAAAATCAATATAAATAAAAAAGTATTTTTTTATTAATGATGATTTTAAAAATATTTATCTTTTTATTGGTTACAATATATTACACAATATTTCAAATGACTATTAGTATAAAGTTAAATAGTTTGGTGTTAATAAGTGATTCAATACATATAATAATTAATTGTCTAGAAATTGTTATTACAATATTAATTTTATTATTTAAATATATTTTTTTTTTGTTAAAAACAAATAAATACTAAAAACAATTGAAAAAAATCTAAATATTCTTAGTGGTATTTTATTATTAATAATATCGATATAAAGTTTATAAAAAAATATTTATTACTTCAGAAATAAGCAAAAACAAATTATTATTAACAAGTTTTGAAGGGTTTCTTATTAATCTTATAGGGGTTTTGATATTTACCAAGATCACTTAAGTGATAAGAATTTGTATGTATTTGTATATTTTATCAGATATGTTAGAATTTATAGGTATAATAATATCAACTATATTAGTAGAATATTTTAATTTAATATTTTTTGATACTTTAATTTTCTTTGTTATAAGTGTAGTTATTTTTAATTATACTTTAAATTTTTTATTTTTTTTTTAAATATTAAGGTGACCACTTAGGCCCTTGGCACTTTATTAGTACAAGCGGTAGGCCAATGTTAATTT